CATCAACCTGGCGACACTTGTCCTCGTAGTCCTCGAGCTTGGGCTGCGCGTCAGCGAGCTTGGCCTGGATCGAGTTAAACTCGAGCTGGAGATGCGAAATCTCCGCATCCTTGTCCTTGACGGTGTCGCTAGCGCGGCGGCGCAGCTTCTCAATCTCGCCCTGCAGCGCCTCAATGACGCCCTTGTGGTCCGCCTCGGTCTCGGACAACTTCCTGTCAGCAGTCTCGAGCTTGTCCTGCAGGTTGGCGATGCTCTCCTGGAGGGCGCTGACGAGGCCCTGGTTCTCCTCGTGGAACGACTTGCGTGCGTCTGACTCGGAGCTCTTGAGCTTCTCAATCTCACCCTGGAGGGCGTCGATCGTGGCCTTGTACTCGGTCTCGCTGTCAGAAAGCTTCGAGTCGGCGTCCGACAAACTCTGCTGGAGGCTGATGATGCTCTCCTGGAGCGTGGCGACAGCGGCCTCGTTGTCGGCCTGGGACTTGCGACGCTCGGCCTTGAGGGCATCCTCGGCCTCGGCAAGCTGCTGCTGAAGAGCGTCCTTGTCGGCGGCGAACGTCTGGATGTCGGTGTTGAGCTTCTCAATGTTCGCCTGGAGGCTGGCGGCAATGACGTCGCTCTCCTCCTGCGACTTGCGGCGCTCGGCCTTGAGCTGAATCTGCAGCTCGGCAATCTGGTTGGCCAACGCCTCCTTCTCCTCGGTGAGGGCGGCGATGTCGGCGCTCTTGTCGGTGCCGGTGAGCTGCTTCTCGAGGTTCTCCCTCTCCTCGGCAAGAGCCTTGAGCTCGGCGACGTGCTTGGCGCGCTCGTTCTCGAACTCGCTCTTGGCCTCGGTCAGAGTGCGGACCTCGGAGCCAAGCTCGGCCTCGCGAGAGAGCAGCTCGTCGACCCTCTTCTGAAGCTCAGAGCCGCGGGCGAACTGGTTGGTGAACTTGACCTGCAGGTCCTCGAGCTTCGTGGCCGTCTCAGTCATGGACTTCTCCATGGACGACTTGATGAACGCCGAGTTCTTCTTCTCAGCCTCGAGCATGTCGTTGGCCTCATTGATGCGGGTGCTGAAGTCCTCGAGGGAGCGGGCGAGCTCCTCTTGGAACTTGGTCTTGACGTCAGACACCTCCTCGGCGCCCTCGAGGCTCTTGCTGTTCAGGGCTTCCTTGTGGGAGCGGACAGCATCGGCGTGCTGCTGCTCGAGCTCGGCAATGCGGTTCTGCAGGCTCTCGACAACCTCAACATCGGAAGTCTGGCCGTGGGCAGTGCTAAGCTCAAGCTCAAGAGCGGCAACGCGCGCGTGGGCCTGCTCGACCTCGTCGGCCCTGGTCGACAGCTCGGTGATGGTCTGCTGGTGCTCGTAGTGGTCGGCGAACATGGTAGCGATCTGGGCATCCTTGGCCGCAATCTCGTTGCTAGCAGCCTCGATGCGGTTAGTAAGGTCGTAGAGCTTGGCCTCGAGGACAGCCTTCTCGTCGTTGAAGTTGTCGCTGCCGCTGCGGAGCTCGGCAATCTCGTTGCGCAGATCCTCAAGGACACCGTTCTCGGCCTCAAAGTGACGAGTGAGGTCACCCTTCTCTTGCTCGAGAACAGAGACCTTCTCCTGGAGAGAGGTGACGGTAGCGTCCAGAGCAGCCTTGTCCTGCTCGAGCTGCTCGTGAGCGGCCTTGAGCTCGGCCTGAGCGCCAGAGTCATCCTCCTGGCTGCGAGAAACATCGGCCTTGTCCTGCTCAAGAGAGGCAATCTTCTCCTGGAGAGCCGAAATGGTGGCATCCATGGAAGACTTCTCCTGCTCAAAGACACCGGTCAGAGCCTTGAGCTCTCCCTCGGAGCGGGTGACCTTGTCGGTCGATTCCTGCTCAAGAGCAATGATCCTCTCCTGCAGAGTGTCGACCTTGGCAATGGCGTCGGCCTTCTCCTGCTCGAGCTCATCCAGCTGCTTCTTGAGCTGGTCACCAGCCTCGAGCGTCTTGTCGGCAGCATCCTCGCGCATGGCAGTAAGCTTCTCCTCGAGAGCCTTGGACTCGGCCTTGTGCTGCTCGAGCTCCTCGGCGCGCTTAGCCAGACTCTCCTCCAGGGCACGCGCCTTCTCGGCCGCCTCCTGCTCGAAAGTGGCAAGCTTCGTCTCGAGAGTCTGGTGGGAAGCCAAAGCCTGCTCAAGCTCAGTGGAGCGGACCTTGAGGTTCTCCTCCAGAGCGCGAGTCTTGTCGGCGACGACGCTCTCGAACGAGGCAGTAAGCTCCTCGGCCTTGTCCTGGTGAGCCTTGGCAGCAGCCTTTTCTTGCTCGAGCTGGTCAACGTGCTGCTTCAGGGCCTCCTCGAAGCTGGCAGCCTTCTCGACGTGCTCCTTCTCGGCGGCAGCGAACGTATCCTTGAGAGACTGCATAGCGGTGCGCTCCTCTTCCAGCTGCTTCTGGTACTTCTCAAGCTCAGCCCTGAGGACGACGGTTTCCTCGCCACTGCCCTCCATGGCAGCGGTAAGGTCCCTCTCCAGAAGAGCAATCCTCTCGGTGTGCTCCTTCTCGGCGGTAGCGAACTTGTCCTGGAAGGATTGGGTCGAAAGACGCTCCTCCTCGAGCTGCTTGTGAGACTTTTCAATCTCAGCCTGAGCAGTTGCGCGCTCCTCTTCGAGCTGCTTCTGGGACTGCTCAAGCTCAACCTTAAGAGCGGAAGCCTCCTCACCGCTACCCTCCTTGGCAGCAGCAAGCTCAGCCTCCAGAGCAGCAATCCTCTCAGAGTTCTCCTTCTCGAGGCTGGCCAGCTTCTCTTGGAGAGAAGACGCAGCAGCGCGTTCCTCCTCAAGCTGCTTCAGGTGCTGGTCGAGCTCTGCCCTGAGCAAGTTCGCCTCCTCGCTGCTACCCTCCTTGGCGGCAGCAAGTTCCTTCTCGAGAAGAGCCATCTTTTCGGTCGAAGCCTCAAGCTCGCCGCGGGCCTTCTTGAGTTCCTCCTCAAGGCGGCCAGTAGCGGCGCTGTCTTCCATCTCGGCCGACGAGAGCTTAGCCTCGAGAGCCTCGATGGCCGAAGCCGCAGCGGTCCGCTCGTTGTCGAGCTTCTCCTTGTGGGCGGCAGCAGCCTCGTCGAGAGAGCGCTTGTGCATGTTGGATTCGGCAGCGAGGTCAAAGACCTTGCCCTCGAGCTCCTCGATCTTGCTGGTGAGGCTGTTGCGCTCGCCCTGAAGCCTCTGCTCGTAGCCTTCAATGTTGGCCTTGAGACGGTTGACCTCGTGCTCCGAGTCTTCCCTGACGGCGGCCAAGTCGATCTTGAGCTGGCTGATGGTGTCGGCGGAGCGGTTCTTCTCAGTCTCGAGCTCTTCGGCGAGACGCTTGACCTCGTCGTTGCCGCCCTCCTTGGCGGTGGAGAGTTCGGCCTCGAGCAGAGCAATGCGCTCGGCCGACTTGGTCTTCTCCATCTGGAGTTCCTCGTTGAGGCGAGCAGCGTCGTCGCTCGAGCCCTCCTTGGCAGCCGACAGCTCGCCTTCGAGCTGGCTGATCTTCTCCGCGGACGCCTTCTTCTCAAAGTCCATCTCTTCGTGCAGAGCCTTGAGCTGCTCCTCGACGCCGCTCTTGGCCTGCGAAAGCTGTTCCTCGAGCTCGCTGATCTTATCGGCAGAGGCCTTCCTCTCGGTCTCGAGTTCATCGTTGAGACGGCTGACCTCGTCGCTGGTGTTGCCAGACGCAGATGACAGCTCCGACTCGAGGCGAGCAATACGCTCCTCCGAAGACTTCCTCTCGGCATCGAGCTCCGCCTGAAGCTTCTTGGCCTCAGACAGCTCAGCCTCCATACCGGCGAGCTTCTCGGCCGACGACTTGCGCTCAGCCTCGAGGTCGGCCTCGAGCTGCGCGGTCTTTTCGGCGGCAATGCGCTTTTCCTCCTCCTTCTCGCGCTCGCGCTCGTCGAGTTCGTCCGACGCGCGGTCAATCTCAGCCTGAAGCTTGGCGAGAGTCTCGACGAGCTCCTTGTTCTGCTCATTGACCTCGGTGGTCTCGCCCTTGGACTGCTCAAGACGGTTCTTGACGTCCTCGAGCTCGACGGCCTTGAGCTTGAGCTCATCGTTCCGGCGACGAATGTCTTCGGTCTGAGCCTCCCAATCGCGCTGAGCAGTCTCCAAAGCACTGGCGTGCTCCTCGCGCTCGCGCTCTAGGTCACTCAACGCATCCGAAGTCTTTGAATCCGAAGAGGACTTGTCAGCTTGCATCTCTTCAATTTGGGATTCAAGCTCTTGGATTTTAGTCTCAAGAGCCTTGCGCTGGTCAAATTCGGCGGTGAGGTCGTGCATAATTTCATTTTGATCGCGAGAAGCATGGGAAACGTGGGACGCATCAGGACTCCTCACAGATTCATCCATCGACTCGGCGTTGCTGGGGAGGGCCGGCTCTTCTTCAGCCTCGGGCTCAGCCGGGGCAGCTGGCTCGGCCGGCTCGGCCGCGTCGGCCGTCTCAGCCTCAGCATCCGGAGCAGCGGGAGCTTCCTCCTCGACAGGAGTTTCGGGAATGGTGGGGCTGCGATCGACAGTCAGCAAAAGCCCTACGAGAGCGGGGTAAAATGGGTCAAAGTACATACCTCTTGAGCCCGTCACCAACAGAAGCCGGAGTGCCAGAGGTCGACGCCCTCTTCTCGGCGGTGCCACGAGCCGTCGAGACGGTGCCTGTCCGGGCACGCGTGGTCGACGTCGTCGAGGGCTTGGAAGAGGTCAATGAAGACCGCTTCGAGGCGGAGTCGGTTGTAGATGTGCGGGTAGGAACGGGAGGCCGCCTAGGAGTGGCGGAAGTGGTGGTAGTGGAGGGCGTGCGGCGAGCCGTCGAGGCCGTCGGGGCGGTAGCGCGGGAGGTGGCCGTGCCGGTCGAAGAAAGGCGCTTCGAGGCCACCGAGCCGGGCCGCTTGTTCTCCTCTCCCGAGCCTTGCTCGACGTCCGACACCATCCTGGCGACGGAGCCAGGGCGGGCCTTGGCGGCCGACGAGGCCGTCGATGTAGGGCGGGTGGGCGGTTTGTTCACATTGGTAGAGGAGGTGCGCGCGGCCGACGAGGCAGCCGTGGGCCTCGTGGCCGAGGCACGCGTTGTGGCAGGCGTGCGAGAAGTTGACGACATGATGGTCGAGGCCGGGCGACGAGGGGCACCGGTGACGCCGCTCTTTGCTGCAGAGCTCGAAGTGCTGGCGACGGAGGAGCTCTTCTTATGAGCGGGGGCTGCCGGTCTGGAGGGGTTCGAGTCAGCCGGAGCGGTCGACGTGGTCTCTTGATGCTCCGAGTCTGGCATTTTGTGGGTTCGGTGAAGATGCGGTCAAGGGAAGTAACAAGGACTCGGGACCAGACAACGACACACAACGGCGGGGCACGACGAGGAAAAGAGAAGGCAGAAGAAAAGGGAGCAGGAAAAAAGGAGAAGGGAAAAAACACGACTCGCAGGCGGGGACTTGTCGGGACTGGCAGCTGGAGTCGTTGAGAAAAAGATGGATTGTTCCTTCGGCAGGCGCGATGTGGTGTTCGCGGAGCACGGGGCAACACCCTCAGGGGCCCCCAGACCGCCCGTCGCCCCGCGCTGCACTGCCAAAGCTTCGCGAAAAAAAGCCGTGCCAGTGCGTGTGTCGACTGACAGCTCGCGACTCTCCTTCGCCGCTGGCAATTGATCGACAGCCCGGTGAGGCAGTGAAGCTTCCAGGCACAATGGTGGATGGGATGCCTCTCCCCGCTGCCGTTGCCGTTGCCGCCCCTGACCGCCTCCGCGCGCCACGCCCCTCCCGTCCCTACGCCGGCAGCCCTTCCCTGTCGGCCTGTCCCAAGTCCTGCTGCAACACCACCCCTCTCCCCAGCCGTGCCATGTTGATCCGACCGACTCTCTCCCTCTCGCCTACCATGAGCCGAGCCGCCGCGCGGGCTACTCTGATGACAAACTTTCACCGGACTCGCGGGCTGCTCGCATCACATCACATACGTCACTCACTCACTCACACACCGTGCACCACGCCAGAGCGACGAACCCAACCGTGACCATGAACCATTTTCCCTTATCCCACCCTCCCCCTCCCCCCACAGGCCCTCGACCAGCGAGCCCGTCGCAGTCAGTCCCCCTTTGTTCGGCCGAACGCTACAGTCTAAAGGGAAAAAGGGGATCGAAGGGGGAAAAAAAAAAAGACGGGGCCTTCAGAGTGAAACACTAAACCAAAAAAAATCAGGGAGAAACTGCCGAACCGCCCCCATGGCTCGTCTCCGCTCTCTCTTTCTCTCTCTCTCTCTCTCTCTCTCTCTCTGAAACCGCTATCCCTAGCCCGGAGTGTGTCGACGAAAGCAAGTTTGTGCTCATGAAGTAAAACGCCACGCATGCCTCGCCGTGGCTCGCTCGAACAGCGTGAGCCAGGATATCTTTCGTGAAAAAAAAAACGCAACAACGCAAGTCAAAAGGGGGGCGCGGGGGAAAAGCTCAAGGGAAACGGAGAGATAGCCAGACAGTCGATCGAATCCCATGCGTCGTTTCATGTCGGCAAGCATCCAACACCAGTGTATATTGAACTGGCTACAGCCGAAAACGCTCCGGAATGTTGTGCGAGTCAAATTGACTTAGCTATGCTGCCAAAGCTTCGCAGTGATTGGGTATCTGAACGGAGATTCCGATGCAAATGCTGAGATGAGGTCGGGGTCGCAGGCTCCAGCGTACGGGTTGCGGCGCGAGAGCACGGCAGCTCGGTCTGATGAAGCACTCGGTAGCACCTCTTGGCGTTCCGTTCTGCTGCCTTGTTTCGCCCTCGCATCGTTCGCGCCGGTCGTAGAGCCACATTTTTCATATAAAATAATACCACTTGAAAAAACTCGCTTCGACTAAAGCGGCGGTAGATCAGCTGTTTCTCAAAAAGGGATATGGAGCACTAAGCACCACCTTTCTTCTTGCGCTCCTCGGCACGCGCCTGACGTGCAGCCTTGACAAGCGGCGCCAGAGTGGCCAGCGGCTCAGCGGTTTGGATGAACGGGTGCTGCGATTTGGTCAGTACTGGCGCGCAATGTGAAAGGAGTCGTCCTTACAGTCAACAGGTCATGGGCGCTCGCGCGCTTGTCGGGGTCGACCTTGAGCGCGAAGCCAAGGAAGTCCTTGAAGATGGCCGTCAAGTTGTGCTCTTCCTTGATCGTTGGCGTGCCATTGGTCGCGATGAGCCAAAGCGCGCGGAGAGGCGACTCGTTCAGGTACGGAGGCTCGCCCTCGATCATTTCGATGGCCATGATGCCCAATGACCAGATGTCAACCTTCCGGCCGTACTCCTTGCGGGTGACGACCTCGGGGGCCATCCAGTAGGGCGTGCCAACCATGGTCGTGCGCTTGCGCTCAGACTCGTTGATCTGGGCGCAGAAACCGAAATCGGCTACGCGTGGTCAGGTACTAAACCGGTGAAGGGAAGGGGGCGCAGCACTTACTCAGCTTGATGTTACCCTCCATGGAGAGCAGAATGTTGTCCGACTTGATGTCACGGTGGATGACGCCCTTGGAGTGTAGGTGCTGCAGACCGCACAGCACCTCGCGCGAAACGGCAGCAATCTGGCCCTCGCTCATGATGTTGAACGTCACAACGTCGGTCAGCGAACCGCCCTCCATGTACTCCATGACGACCCAGAGGTCGGCCTTGACGAGGAAGGAATCGATAAAGTTGACAATGTTGCGATGCTTCGACTCGCGCATGACGAGAATCTCGTTGATGATCAGGTCCTTCTTGGGCTGCTGGTCGAGGTTCATCTGCTTGATGGCGACGCAGCGGTTCGTGCCCATCTGGTAAGCGGTGAAGACACCGCCCGAAGCACCCTGACCGATCTTGTTGAAATTGCGGTACATCTTGGTGGGATCAGAAGGATTGCAGATCGCGTTGAGGCGCTCGATGATGTTGCTGCCCTGCGCGCTCTCGCGCGGGCGCTGGCGAGGCCGACCACCAGGCGGCGCAGGGCCAACGCGTGCCGGCTGCTGAGGCATAGGGACGTTGTGCGGATCGGCATGCGCAAACTGCGGCTGCGGGGGTTGCGCCGACTGATACGGGTGTTGCTGGTAGTGGCGCTGGCTGCGCGAGCGTTCCAGCTGCTGCTGTTGCTGGCGAGCGATGGACTGCTGCGCGGCGAGCATGGCCTGCTGCTGCTGGTCCTGGTACTGCTGGACGGTGCCGGTGGCCGGGGCGCCGTGGTGAGCGGGGCCGGCGGCGGCGTCGTTGGTGTTGGCGCGGCTGCGGTGGCCTGCTGCTGCGTCGGTGGCAGGAGGAGTGTAGGTGGTGGCAGGGAGGTCCTCGGGGATGCGCTCGACGCCAGGCGCGGGCGGGGCGGGGCGCATCGGTACGACGTTGGATTGCGCCTGCGGAGGGCGGGGCGCGGGACGGTGTGGGACCATGCCGTTGCTGCTGCTCGACGAGGGCGAGGTGACGGGCGAGGCGCCGGCGCCGCCGCGAGGGACCGGAGGCGGCGCCCGAGGGTTCTCGAACGAGTCCTCAGTGCTACGAGGGAAACGCGGGCTGACGGGCGGGCTCAACAGCGGCGTTCCCCCGCCGGCCGAGTGGCCTGGAGTCGTCACATAGTTGCTAGGCTGAGCGTGACCGATCTTGTCCCAGATGTGGTCGTCGGAGCGACTCGACGTGTTTTCCTGGTAGAATGCGACGACGTCGGTGAGGACCTCGGGGTTCTTCTTCTGCTCCTGCTCGTCGATGCCGTTGGCCTTGAGGATCTGCTGCCATTCGCGGGGCAGGCCCTAGGAAAGAAATGTCAGTTGGGACGTGGGACCGGGCCGGGCTAGCTGGCGGGACGGCGGGATGCGACCGACGAAGGCATTTTGGACTTACCGTGAACTCGCCCGTGTCATTGTCAATCGACACGTGGGTGACGTGGAGCGGATTGGTGGGCGTCGAGATGGTCGGGCGACGCGGCGAACCGACCAGGCCGCTGACAAAATTGGTGAAGCCCGTCTTGGTCTTCTTCAGGGTGTCGGGGCGGGAGAGCTTGGAGGGCTTGACCTCGCCCGAGAAGCGTTTGTTGTCGCGATCCGAGGCGGCCGAGGGCGTGGTTATCGTCTCCATCTTCCTGCCGAGGGCGCCAAAGCTCGCAGACTGTCTCAGACGCGGAGTGAACAGGCGGGCATCCGCGGTGCGCGAATGCTGGGGCGGCGGGGGGCGTTGTTGTTGTTGTTGATGTTTGGTGGGCGAGGACTGGATCTCGTTGATGTTTTGGCAGAGACCCTGGGCGTCAAACGGCGACCCAATGAGGTCGTCGTTGGCCTTGTCGGTAAACGAGCGGCGGAGGGCGGGCGGGTGTTGTTGGTGGTCGAGCGACGAGTTGGAGGCCGACAGGAACTCGGCCGTGGGACTGCGGCGGTGATGGTGGCCGAGCTGCTTGAGGGTGTGAGGGTAGGTGGGAGCCGAGGGGGCTCTGCGCAGGGAGCGGGCGGCGGGATTGGGATTGTAGGAGACGGGCGGCGGGCCCCTCTTGGTCAGCCTGCGGTGCTCGCGCGTGGTGTTGGTGTGCTGGAGCTGCTGGCCCTCAGCAGATGGGTGCTCCATGACGGGCCGGCCGGCTTTTCCCTTTTTCCCTTTTTCCTTTCAATGGGGGTGCTGACGTTTCCCACCGTTACTCAGAACCTGCAGCAGGGCGGATTGGCGAGGGTGCAGCAGCAGCAGCAGCAACAGCAACAGCAACAGCAAACAGCAACGTGGAGAGTAGTTAGAGTGTGCAGAGAGCGGCGAGAAGGGCGCGAGAGCGAGAGGACGGCCCTTACTACTGTGCACGGAGCCCGCAGGGGCTGGGCCAAAGAAAGAGAGTTGAGAGTATCGGTCCGCCCTTCTCTCTCTCGTCTGGCCCTCAATCTCGCCTCCAAAAGGTTACGAAGTAGCTTCCCCCCCCAGCGCGCCCCCCTCCCCGCCCGTTGTGCGAGCGCCCAGCCTGGCGTTTCAGACGCCGATCCCTAATCTCTCGAAACGGCGGCAAGGTTCACGACACGTGCCATGCTAACCCAGAGCCTCTTGTTGAAGGGCCGCGCACACCACCCTCGGCCCACGCCCGTGATCTGCCGTCCCTTGCCCGCTTCCAGTCGCATACCCTACATAAGCGAGATGAAGCTGTTGGAATGCTCGGGCCTGGCCATTGGGCTTTGCGTTTTTTTTTTTTTCTTTTCTTTTTTTCTTATTTCTTTTAAACTGCCACTGCCCGTCTTGCGTGCTGGCTGGAACCCTACCTAGGCTTGATTGCTTTCTCTCCACCCCGCCCCCACGCACGTCACTTGTCGTGCTATGTCCCGGTGCTTCTTTTCCCTTCCCGTGCTTCTCTTCCCTTCCCGTGCCGAAGACCTGATCATGTGTCTGATGATACCTAATGAAAGGAAGAAACCTGTCGAGAATCCTCAGCCCTGCCCAGCCCTATCTACCCTAAGCCCGGGACAGATCGTCGACGATCCCATCCATCCACGATCCAACAGCGTGTCTCCTCCTCCCCGCGGGGTCCAGCAAGCCACCCAACGTCCGCAAGCGCGCTTCGCCATCTAGCGAGACAGGGAATCGTCTTTGCCCAGCGTGCCCAGCTAGAATACAAGCCCAAGTCCTACTAACTAGTAGACATGAGTAAATAAAAAAGTCTTCTAGCACACACACACACAAGTAGAAATCTCGCCATCACCACAACAATGAAATCCCACGCACCCGGCAAAAACAGCCGTTAGCACCATTAGTCCCTACCGTACCGTACACCCCAACACCAACCAACCAAGCCCGCCCAAGCCCAGGCAGAGCCCAGTCCAGCCAACAGCCTCAGGCGCACCGCCGCCGCTGACGCTGCTCGCGCAGGCCAAAAGCACGCGCGCAGCCGCCACAGCGCCAACGCATGGCAGTAGGCAGTCCCTTTCCCCGCACACCCACGCCAGGGCACGCCAGGGCAGGCCAGGGTCTCGTCGCGCGCGCGCCGGCGCTTGTCCCTGGCCTGCCTTGCCCTGGCCTGTCCTGGCTGAACCCGTGCGTGCGTGCGTGCGTGCGTGCGTGCGCCTGGTTCTGGTTCGTACGAGCAGTAGGTAACTAGGTAGTTAGGCTGGCAGGCTGGCAGGTGGTCTAGTCGGCACTACCACCAGGGAAGAGGGGAAGAAGGAAAAAGAAAGGAAAGGAAAGGGCTGCACCAGTGCCTGCGTCTGCGTCTGCGTCTGTGTCTGCGCCGGTGCCGGCGCCAGCGTTGACGCCCTACGGATTACCTGTATATGTGTATGTATGCATGCGTGCGTGTGCGAAGATAGGTGCTCTAGGTGTTTGTAGCGTGCCTAGGCAGGTTTCGTGGATATTAGGTAGGAGTAGACTGTTTATGACACGCATATACATGCGTAGGTACGTAGTTCTACCACTATCACCACCAGCGCCGCCAGCACCAGCAACACAGCGTCAGCACCAGCGTCAACGTCGCGGGCCGGGCCTTGCCTTGCCTCGCCTTATTCCGTATGTACCTTGCCTTACCTACATATATACACACACACATATACATCCTCTCGAACCGTGGCTCACCCACCCCACTTAAACCCAACCCAACCCAACCTCATCTCATCTTGCCTCATCTCGCCTCATCTCATCACATCTCACTCGCCTCACCACCTAACTATGCACCATCAGACATCAGACACGCACGCGCGCGCCTGGCCTGCCTAACAGCTGCGGGAGGGAATTCTTCGGGCGGCTTGCGCAGAAACGCGCCGACCTACCGCCCGCGCGTGTCTCTAGTGCTGGGTGCGGGCTGAGACATGAGGCTGGGTTTGAAACGGGTGTGCGTGGAGGGAGCCTGGAGAGAGGACAGGACAGGGCAGGCAGGGCAGGGCAGAGAAGGACAGGACAAGGCAGGGCAGAATCTTGCTGCTGCTGCTGTTGTGTGCTGTCGTGTGCTCGACTGTGCAGTGCGTGCAGTGCGTGCAGCAAGCAAGCAAGCAAGCAAGCAATTACCTACCTTATGTACCTACCTACGTACCCTACCTATCTATCTACGAACCGTGGCATCTTCAAGCCAGCCGCCATCACCCCTCATCTCCCTCCGCATCATCTCATCTCATCTCCCACAGCAGCTGCGCGCTTGCTCCCTCGATCATCCCTCCCCTTCCTTTCATCCATCCGTCACAACGCGCACGCCGTCGCTGTCGCCAGCCCAGCCCAGCACAGCAGCTCTCGTCGACGGAGATCGTGATCGTGATCATGATCGTGATCGATGACGATCGGAAGCACGCACGGCACGCCTAGAGCAGATCGACAGCAGCAGGTAGAGTACAGTACATAGGGAGGGCTCGCTTATCTCGACGGACGGGGGTTGAGCTTGCAACGCCAACGCAGGCCGAGTCACGGACGGGAGCAACGAGCAACAACTAACGAGCTTCTCGCCCAACCATCGCGCGCGGAAGGAAGGCGTTGATGCTCGACACGATGCTTGACGCTTGACACTAGGTAGGTGTACGGAGTGTATGTATGTACGATACGGCGATGCTCCCAGCCCCAGCCCCTGTCCCTGCTCCTTGAGTAGTGAGTGAGTAGTCCTGGCACGACACGAACGACGGCTCCGCAGCCTGTCGTTGGTGCTGCTTTTGCTGCTTCTGCCGCTGTCGCCGTCGCTGTCGCTCGCTGCCCCGATGACTGATGCGCCCGGCCGGCACCGGCACCAGCACCAGCACCGGCGGTCGCCGCTACCTAGGAGTAGAGTAGAGTACTCTACTCGCGTGCTAGAGGCCTAGCGCCCGCGCCGCCATGCTCCAGCAACGAAGGGGGCAGCGCGTTGATTTACCTATGGTACTCTAGAAGCAGGAGGAAGGAAGGCGCGGAAGCGGTCGCTCGGCGGCGTCGTAGTGGTCGAAGGGGGTGCTGGGTTGGATTGGTGGCTTAGGAGGCTCTACTCCTATGTACCCAATTCGGCTTTTCTTGTTCTTTTTCTTTTCTTTTTTCCTTTTGCGCTGCTACAATTCAGAGTCTACTTCTCTTCTCTTATTGCTGCTTTTCCCCTCGCTGCTGCTGCACCTGCTGCTAGTATACCGTGCCGCGCGGTCGTTGCCGGCGCCTCCCGGGTCGTCGTCTTAGGTGTAGGAGTAGCTGCAAAGGCAGAGCAGTGGGGGAGCACTAGCTACGTAGCGAGGACAGTAGCACCTCAGGACCCTCTCTCCCTCCGTCCATCCCCCGCCACAGCTCCGCTGCTTCCGCTGTTAGCCTGCGACATTTCGCCCGCGCCTGCTCTCTCTCTCTCTCTCTCTCTCCGTCGCTTTCCTCTTCCACATACGCATACACACACACGCACATACATCCGACCAACCAACACATCTACACCTACGCGCGCGCAACCATGGCCGCCGCCCCGCCCCCCTCCAGCGACCCCGACACCCACGCCCACGCCAACATCCACGTCCACGCCGACGACGCCGACGCCGACAATATCTTCCCGCGCTACCTGCCTGCCGACGACGACGGGCCAGACGAGGTGCAGCGGTACATTGTCAGCGGCAAGTCTGCCCTCGCATAAACCCATCCCCACAAACCCGCAAACCCACCCAACCCCATCCCAAACTCCCCTTCCCCACACCCATGCCATTCCCCACCCCAAACCCAGCCCCAACCCAACTAACACACGCCCCTCACAGTCCTCACGTCCCCCACATCCCCCGCCTCCCTCACGCACCCCGCCGCCCGCACCCTCGCATCCCAGTACCGCTGCCTCAACGGACTCGACCTCAAGACCGCGTCAGTCGGCGAGCTCCAAGCAGCCCTCGGCCCGCAGCACGGCGCGCACGTGTTCCAGGCCGTCGACAGCCACATGCCGCAGCTGTCGGCCGTGGCCGCGAGCGTCAAGAAGGCTGCAAGAGGATGGGGCATCGAGATCTTGGGCGATCGGGAGCAGAGCGAGAGCTGTCCGGCTAGTGTGGCTGCTAGTAGGG